GCATTTGGCCCACAGCCCTGGATAGATTTTCATTTTGGCCCTCTCAGGGAAAATGTTTGGGCACCCCTGACCTAAACCGAGACCAAGTCAAGACCAAGACCACAGTGTCTCGAGACCGAGACAAGACCAAGACTTTTAGGGTTTGGACCAAGTCGAGACCAAGACCAAGGAAGGGTGAGACCGAGACAAGACCAAGACCTGGAAAAAAAAATAGTCCTGCTTGAATGTGTGATCCATGCTTTTATTACATCTTCATTACATTACATTTTATTACATCTCACCTGGACTACTGCAACTCTCTGTATGTTGGTGTTAGCCAGGCTGGCCTCTCACACCTGCAGCTGGTTCAGAACGCTGCAGCACGCCTTTTAACACAGACGAAGAAGCGTGATCATATCTCCCCGGTGCTGGCTTCACTTCATTGGCTCCCTGTGTGTTTTAGAATTGATTTTAAACTTTTACTGATGACCTATAAGGCTCTGAATGGACTGGCTCCTGAATACCTGTCTGACCTCCTGCAGCCCTATGTGCCCTCCAGATCTSTTAGATCCCATGATCATTTGCTCTTGGTTGTCCCGCGGTCCAGACTGGTCCACAGAGGTGACCGAGCCTTTTCAGTTGTGGCTCCTAAACTGTAGAACCAGCTGCCTCTTCACATTAGACAGGCCTCAACTCTTGGAGTTTTTAAATCTCTTCTTAAAGCACATCTGTTTTCAAAAGCTTTGATGTAGTTTGAGAGTTGTTTCCCTATTTATTTGGTCTGTTTTTATGGTTTTATCATTTGTGTTCTTTTAGCAATGCTTTGTTTTTAGTTTGCAATATGTGAAGCACTTTGGCCAACGGCAGTTGTTTTTAAATGTGCTATACAAATAAAGTTGACTTGACTAAAAGATGGAGGATTCTGTACACATGTACAGTGGGGGGGGGTATTTTGTCTCATAGTTGAGGTCTAACTATGATGTCAATTACAGGCCTCTCTCATCTTTTTAAGTGGGAGAACTTTAACAATTGGTGCTGACTAAATACTTCCCCCCACTGTAGCTAACTTAATATGTAGAGCTAATATTGACAAAATCTTTGTGTGAGGGCAGAGGAAAGAATTTTGCTACAGAGGCAGATTGTTAATGTTAGTGACGATAAAAGTTTGACATTGTCCCCACTGTCTCTGAAAGTGAAGAACTGCCGAATTTACAAGTTTCTGTATGCATTCTCCTGATTGTTGTTGTTTTACAATGATATTATTTATGAATAATGTAGCCATATTTTTTACTTAAAATTTTGAAGACATCTTACCGCTTCCAGAGAACCACTGCTTACTAGTGCTGTGTGCGAGTGAAGAGGGTGACAGCCGGTAACAAAAATACATAAATAGAATCAGGTTTGGATTTGAATCTGAATGTTTTAAGTCCAATGAAAGCAAGATTGTTATATAAATTGGACAATTATCTGGCTGTTTAGTGATATTTCCACAGTTGTGGTCTTGACTGGCCTTGAAATAAAATTCCGAGTCCTCAATGTCCGAGACAAAACCGAGTACAAATGCTGTCGAGTCCGAGACAAGACCAAGACCATCAAAAGCTGGTCTTAAGAATTTATTTATTTTGCTGCACTAAACAGTTGATTTAAAATTGATTTAAAATGGATTTTTTTAAGTAACTTCTATTTCTTTCTTTTTTTTAATGAACTCATTGTTTGGACCAGTCTGATGTSACCCGCAGACTGGATGTGACCCAAGGGCCACCAGTTGAATAACCCTGTTAAAAAGCTTAACAAGAATGTCATAGCTAGTTTTAGTGATATTTAAAAAAGACTCATTAGAAAAGTATTCAAAAAGTAAAAGAATTGACCTTGTAAACATCTAAATCTGTAATAAGGAATTTGTGCACAAGTTTGAGGGTGAACAAACAAGCTTGTATAAATATTCTCATTACAATTTTCTAAAGTCACAATTGATACAGTTTAGAGGTAACAGWTGGTGACTGATAAGACAAATGTTCTATTCAATAAAAAGCAGTTACAAGGCATCAAAAACAGCTAAAGGTATACAGGGTGTCGGCATTTTAAGAAAAAATCTGCTCACCTGTTTGATGAAAAAGTTTCTAGCAGCTCAGAAAGACATACTGACCCACACCATCACAAGAATCAATGTTTACGGTTAAACTATAGTTTAAATTGAATAGTTTATTTTCTAATGAGAAAGAGAGCAGCTTAATTTCTATATGAAAATATAGTGTAGTTGATTTTCAAAATATCTTACCCTGTAAAAACAAGTACAGAACAACTACAATAACTTCATTTTTGGAATTGTTTGTAGCCTCAATGTAATCAAATTATTTATGTATTTATTTTTTCACTTTGCTTTGAATTTTTTAACCAGTGACCAATGGCAGTCGGACCAGTTTAACATGGAGCCATTTCAGAAACAAAAAGCAGATTTTTTATGAAGATCTTTGAATTTTTCTTACTTTACATGTAATATTTAATTTAATATTATATATGTATGCATGCAGTAATAAGTTGTCCGATGAAAATAAAATAAATTGCTTAGTCGTGTTTTCTCCACATTGTACATCACCATATGTGTTATGTCCTGTTGGCGAGTTCCTTTATGAATGCAGTTATTTTTGGTATTATTGCTTCTTATAGAAGACTTGGAAAAAAACACCATAGCTTACCTTTTCCCTGGCCTTACACAATGCTGTAGATATACAATTACATTAAGAGGTGCAATTTGTAGAATCGTCAAATGTGCACAGACAAAATTATATTCTCMTTTAATCAAATAGGGTAATAGTTGACCCCAGCAAAAAGGTTTCAAGTTATTTTCTAGATTTTTCAGGTCTTTCAGTGTGGAGTTTGTATTTCCTTCATGGTGAAGTATAAATTTTCTCTCACAGTCCAAAAGCATGCATGTTCAGTTAATCTAAGATTATAAAAGTAATTGTAAATGTAAATTTAATACCTGGTTTTGTCCCCATGGTGGACCAGAAATGTTCAGTTTTTACTGCTTCTTACTCAGTGACAGCAATATTTTGTGGACAACTACAATTATAAAGTATTTTACTACTTAAAACTAGATTTCAAATTTGGTAACAAGTGTTAATATAAAGTTATTTGATGTGATGGGCCACATTTAGTAAAAGGGAGAGAAAATCCTTAATCAAAACAACACATTTGACACTACTTCAGATRTTTTTTAAATAGATTCTTTTTCTGATTGTTGATTAAAAATATTTATGTACAACTTTCTAATAAAAAAAMCCCATGCTGCAGCACTAGGTGGTGACCATCAACATTAGTAACATATTTAAATATAAGAAAAGAAGATTTCTAGGCTTGGCTGACGATAGAATCGGTGATTTACAGTTCTGTGATCAGATTAAAACAAAAAAGCCTAAATGAAAACAGGTACTAATGACTTAGTGGTTGCTTTGGTTTCTAGGACACAAAGTGATCATAAGTATATAAAACTGGCTGCTTCATCATGGAAACAAGGTGTATCTGTTGGCCCAGTTGGTGGCATTAAATTAAAAAAGGTGCACCCAGGTATTAATATAGTAATAAGTTAAGATGGTAAGATAAGATGGTAAATACGTGGCCATGACATTGTAAGTACATGGGCACAACATAACTTGTGGCCACAAGATGGTAAATATGTGGGCATCGGATAGTAATATATGTTCAAGAAAGAGTAAATATGCGGGCACAAGATTACACACGGCCACAAGACATGTAAATATGTATCCACGTTATAGTAAATATGTGGTCACTAGGAATATAGGAATGAATTACAATGACATACTTCAGTCACTTGCGGTCAGGCATGGAGTAATTCTCAGCAAAAGACAATTTGCTGCTCAAAATTATCTTGTGGTCATGAGATAGTAATGCACGGGAACCCATTTTTTTAATCCAATGTCACCAAATGGATTCAGTAGTATCTGGTTTTAGAATTATACTGTGGAAAGGTTGCATGGGCTTACTATAAAAAAGGTCTGGGGTCTTTGACTTTAATTGTTTGTAGGACACTTAGCCATAGAAAATTCTAGTTTGTACAGTTCACTGATAAATGATAGCTTCCACATGTCAATCAAGCTCCAGAGAGAGAAGAAGCCACAACACTGTTTTAAAGTATTTTTCTGTTCATAAATTACAGCATTATTATTATTAGAACTTAGATTTCTGTCCTAAAAAATGACCAGAACTTAAATGTCAGTCTGAACATAACACTCTAAAGCTATGTTACTTAGTAAGTATTTAGGAACTTAACTAGTTTAACACGTTTACCTAAAAAGCTGCAGTATCTAAATGAAAAGAAAGGAAATTACCAATCAGTAACAGTTTACACATTTTTTACAGAATAACAGAATAAAAACAGTCTGTGTCTTTCAAGAGCTAGAGTTCTGTAAAATAAAATAAATCTTTTTTGGGGATGTAATCCTTAGATGTTGATTCACTTTTCTTTAATTAATCATAAACACAGTGAGATCATTGTGAGCTGACGATCCCTTAGCATCTATCTGTTATTAGGCAGACTATTCTACAGTTAGCAGATAGCTGTGAAAGTCCTTATGGCTTATAAAAGTTTTTCTTTAACTTCACAGATCATACATTGTTGATATTACAGTTTGAACAGGAGTGCATGGCACCACAAGGGTGCCACTTGGCATGTTCTCCATCTGTCAATACGTAGAGCAAAAAGTAAGGAAAYGACCAGCAGCCGGATCTTCGGTCACAACGCAACTGAATTCTGAAAATTGCTCAAAGTGACTCCTGAATTATACAAAGAGTAGAGAAAGTGTGGAATTTTGTAAAAGCTACAAAATCTGTAAACAAAAATACATTTAAATACACAAGGAGCATAAAGCAGGAAAATACAAATACAGAAAGAACAGACCTAACCGTAAACCACAATGTCCAACGGTCTGTTAGTGATGGGTAGGTGCTTATTATCGAACCAGTCTTAGTCCATAGCTCTTTTATGTTTCTGTAATATTCACTTATTTACCCTAATATGGTAATTATTGCTTGTCTACGCTATGAATGTGTGTGCTTCACTAAACTCAGTTTTACCAAAGAGTAAAAATGACAACACTTTTAGGTGAACAGTCGCACAAGCAGGAAGAAAACACGCACACATCCATTTAAACCATGTGAACATAAAAGACTCATTCCTTTAGAGAGTCAATTGTCCAGGTTTTACAATCTCCAGGTGACAACTTATTTACTGCGAGACACAAAGAACGCAGGTAAAGATGAGCACAAGCCTAGTCCTGGTAATTACACGCCCTGAGGCCTGGCTGATGCATCCCCACACATGGAAACATCACGTCACACTGCTGTGTGCCTTGAGTTTGAATGGTCCTTCCTGGGCAATGAAGACGTGTTTCCACTGAACTGGCTGAAGCTGGCAGCTCTAGACCTTGCCCTTGGGCCTCCTCCTCCGCTGCCAGACGTTGGGCCCAAGGGTAGAGTACTGTAGCGACCAGGAATGAGGAGGCCTTGGCCCTGGTTGGGTGCTTCCTTGTCAGGGTGGTGGGTGGCGTCCTTAACGAAGAGGCTCTGGATGAGCTGTAGTTTTTCCTTCTCTTCTTGTAAAAAGAGGTTGACTAGGAGCTTCTTTTCCCGTTTGAGCTGTTCCACAATGGTTTTGGGAACATCTGGGATCAGCCAAGCAACCAAGAGGCCCAGGAACATAACCAAGTTCTGTAAAAAGGCAGAGGAGAGGAGATACAAATGCGGTATAATGAGTATTCTCACGTAAAAATGTTTTAACTCAACTAATTTAAGACCAGCTCATTGTTTGCAAACATATCCACTACCATATGTCCAAATGTACCTAACCACAACAAAGTTGTTGGAAAATCTTTTCCTTGCTGGAGACACATCATGAATCAGTAACATTAATTATCTTCAACATATCCATGTTTGGGTTGCAGGAGCAACAATAGGGGAATCCTAACATCCCTCTTCCCAGTGACACACGTCAGCTCCTCATGGGGGATCCCAAGGTAATCCCAAGCCAGAGATAACAAAATGTCCCTCTAGTGAGTTCTGGGTTTGCCCTACAGTCTCCTTCCAGTGGGGTTGTTTCCTGAAAACCTCTAGAGGGAGTCATCATAATTCTGCGTGGTCGCAGGTGGTCTCAGATGAGGGTTTGAAATAAGTATTTTAAAATGTTTTCAAAATAAGTCTGGCACTTTGGAGAAAATCCAGGACTTG